AAGTAGGGTCAGAAGGGGCCCTGTAGATCTTCAAGTCCGACCCCCTGCCAGGGCAGGAGAAAAACTGGGCTCAAATGACTCCAGCCAGGTAGGCATCAAGCCTCTTCTTAAAGACCCCCAGGGTAGAAGCCAGCACCACTTCCCTTGGAAGTTGGTTCCAGATCCTAGCTGCCCTAACTGTAAAGTAGTTCTTACGGATATCTAATCTAAACCTACTCTCCAAAAACTTATGACCATTATTCCTTGTTATGCCACGGGTGCTAGGGGAAACAAGGTCTCTCCCAAACCCTTCTGGTCCCTAGTGAGTTTATAGATGGTCACCAGGTCCCCCCTCAGCCTTCTCTTGTGAAGGCTGAACAGATTCAGGTCCCGCAGTCTCTCACTGTAGGGTTTGCCCTGTTGTCACCAGACCATGCAAGCGGCCCTCCTCTGGACCATCTCAATGTTGTCCACATCTCTCCTGAAGTGGAGCGCACAGAACTGGACACAGTACTCCAGCTGTGGCCTGACCAGTGCTGCGTAGAGGGGGAGGATCACCTCCTTGGCCCTACTTGAGATGCACCTGTGGATGCATGACAAGGTCCAGTTAGCCCTGCCAACTGTGACCTTGCATTGTCGGCCCATGTTCATCTTGGAGTCATTAATGACTCCAAGATCCCTTTCTGCATCATCCAAATGGCTGATAAAGAAATTGAACAGCGCAGGCCCAAGGACTGAGCCCTGAGGGACTCCGCTGCCCACTTCCCCCATGTTGAATATGTCCCGTCTATCACCACCCTTGGAGTACGACCCTTCAGGCAATCTGCAATCCATCTAACTGTGTAGGCATCAATGCCACAGTCGCCTAGTTTTTTTTTAATGAGGATGGGGTGGGAGATGGTGTCAAAGGTCCTAGAAATGCAGATTATAGCTGTGTTGGTCGAACGACATGGCACTGGCAGACAAGGTTCTTTGGATCAATCTGGTATCTTTTAGTAGACCAACTGAATAGTTAGAGAAATATATCTTACAAGGTTTCGAGTTGAAAAAGTCTCTGTCAGGCTGAATTTACAAACCACTTTTCATAGATGAGTCTATGAACTGCACTTCATCAAGCACAGATTTCTTTACTGGAGGAAAAGAATCAAAATAGACTAACAAAAATAAAAAGGATTTTGGGGGAGGAATAAACTGAAAGGAATGAATGAATATAATAATAAAATAAAAAAAAGTATAGAAAGCAAAAGGTATTGATGAATCCTGCTTGCTAGACTAGCAAGTAGGAAATGAATGGTAACTTTTGTTGCCTGATGCTGCTGAAAGACACTAGGGGTGTGTGAAATGGGCATTATTCAATCTGGATTCCGATTCGGCCCGAATCAGGGGACAGTGATTTGATTTGGGTCACTGTCCTGATTCGATTTGCCTGAATCCAAATCTGAAGATTCAGTGCTGATTTGGAGAATCAACGATTCAGCCATAGACACAGCATTAAATGTTTTTTCTACATACCTCAAGGTACCGGGCGCGGCTTGTGAACGCTACAATGCTGGGGTGGATGGAGCACCCCATAGGAACGTGGGGGGGGGGGCTCCCTGCATGCTCAGCAGCAGATCTCGAAGTGGACCAGAAGTACTGTCTCTCTCTAGCAACATAGCATTTCCAGGCCACTGAGTGTGCAGCGGGGCCCCCCTTGTGCCACTCCAGCTCAGTAAATCAGCCACGGGGGGACTCTGGGTACCCCCCTAGGCCCAGAAGACACCAGTCACCGAGCCACTGTTTCAAGCTCGAAACGAGTCGAACCAGAACAGCCACAGAAATTTCACAAAGCCTTAATAATTACCCCGTACTCAAGATACACTATGGTGCCTTAACTTCTGAATCTGTTGTTTGATTCTTCTATTTTTCTCCAAAACCTAGTGTGTCTAGCAAAACAAGTACTACACAAACAACTATCAGAGTTAGCCTAACTAGACAGGCTTCTGCACCCTGAAAAGTTCCTGGGCCTAAAAAGTTTATTTTTAAAAGTGATTTAGAGAGGTCTACTATAATTACCACTCTACCTGCTAACTTGACAAATGCAAAGATGACCAAAAAGTAGCCTACTATTTTTTAGCTTATGCTTTTGCCCACTGTAATTTTTACAGTGTAAACTATGTAAACCATGGCTGTCAAACTCACCTGAGTTGGCAGACTAGAGTCTATCTTAGCGATTCTTGCAGGCCAGATGACTCCTCTCTGGATCCAGCTCAAAGGGCTTCTTACAGTGGCTATCACAACTGCTGTGTCAGCACCAGCAACCAAGGAGTTAACACCACTGCCACTTAACCTCCCTTTACCATGGCTGCTGGAGGTGTTGTGTCAATGTGGTCAGCACACAGGGGTTAACATCTCTGCTTCACTGCCCATTTACATGCCAGGCAGCCATCAACAAAGGGAAACTTTGTGGTGGGCAGCTTTAACCCCGAATGCAGCACTGGCACAGTAGGTCTGCAAGCTGTGGCGACAAGTCCTGCAGACTGGATCTGGAAGCAAGCTGTCTGGCCAGAAAGAAGCCTTGCAGGCTAGATGACTCACTGGTGTGGTCTGAATACAGCCTGTAGGCTGTATGTTCGACTCCCCAGATATAAAATAAGATTGAGAAAACCTATGTATAAACTGTTATTATACTATTACCCTCCTGGGATCTGGGGAGAGGAGGAGGGAGGTTGAGGACAGGTGCACAAGATTCAATATTTACATGCATATCTTGCTTCTCACCATAGTTAAGGTTGCAGAGGTTTCCAGCATTGAGGAAGAAGTGTGTTCTGAAAAGGTCTCCAAATCCCCCCCGGCCTGGCCGAAAAGGGAGAGGCGTGTACAGGTGCAGGCCACTGGCCCAAAAGGCTTCTCCTCCCAGGTAATCACCTGCATGGAAAAATGTTGCACACAAAGTATTTACATGCAGTAGACCAAAAGGAAAAGCTCCAAAAGGAAGGGGAACTCCTAAATTGTTTTATTATGGTCACACCTCTTCCACATTGATTCTCCATTCCTACTTCCAGCAAGAGATAAATTAACACTTACATAGTTCTTTAAATCTTATGCAAGCAGTTATCTTTTATCCTTGCCTTTAGGTAGGCTCAGGGAGGCAAGAACATGTTAGCGGCTCAACAGAGACAACCTACTACAGTAAAAAGTTGATTATCCAGAATAATTAGTTCCACTATCATTCTGGATAATCAGTTTTCCTATATACTCAAACATCACAATATGATGTGGTGTTTAATTTACTTCAATTACTGTGCTGTATAGCAAATATTAAAAATTATGTTTATAAGAAGTAAAAATGTTTCTGTGTAGCGTGTTAAAATCTCAAGGCAGACAAGGTTCTTTGGGTAAATGTCATGTTTTATTAGACCAACTAAATTAGACCAATAAATATTTAGTTGGTCTAATAAAAGATATCACGTTTACCCAAAGAACCTTGTCTGCCTATATCCTTAGACCAACATGGCTACAACCAACCTTAAAAAAATCAAAGCATTAGTAAATGAGTAACACAGTTGTCTGACCAACAAGCAAAAGCCAACCTGCAGACTGATTCTTTTAATACAAAGAATCCAGTTAAGTGACTTTACAGATAACTGATTCTCTACCATAGGTACCTCTAAGAAAGCTATCTTTGTTTTAAAGATCAGAAACTGAGAAAATTAAGCAATTAACCTATGATCACAGCAAATCATCAGGAGAACAAAGAGAAAACTGAGGAAAGTTCCTGGCTCTCAAATCTCCATCTCAGAACAGACTGTTTATCAACCTAACTTACTTTGTACATACACTACATCAAGTAACAGAATCAGTGTAACCACTATTACAAACACATTTTGTTTTAAAAAAAGAACTGGAAAAAAAATCACAGTGGCCCATTAGTCCTGTCAACAAAACCATAAATTAGGATGAGTGGTTTGAAGATTAAAGATGTCGACAGAGGGAGTAGTAGGTCTTAATCACCGTAATTAATTTTAGTAACAGCCACATATACTCAAAATCTTAGCAGCCTTTGAAGGATATTAGAGAGTTGTAAATAGAATATATAGGGAGCAATGCATAGGGGATAAAAATGGAATTTAAAAATCGATCTTGAACAAGTCTTCCTATGAAATCAATCTAGCAAAGTAAACTCAAAACGTAAAACTGTGAAGGCACAGTCTTTTTTCCATTGTGATCTAGTAATATCAGAAATCAGACACCCAAAACTCAAACCCTCAGGATTATATCCACTTGTTCTGAAAAAATAAGCCAGAGAGAGAAAAGTTTCTACTTATTTAAAATCTAAGTGCAACAAAGATACAAACCCTGTCTTCTGAAACTAGCAGTTATGATGTTGTTATATGATTGGGATTTAAAAGTTCCAAACCTTCGCTTTGGGGTCCAATGCTGTACATACTGAATCCACGAACACTTGTTGGTCCACCAAGATAAAACCTAGCAAACAAAGTCATTTTTATTCCAATTAACCATTACAAAAGGGTTCTAGTTAATTTTAAAATCCAGTTATCCATTCTTTGGTATTCAAATTCAGAATTAGAGGTAACTTTTTTGTTTTTTGTTGTTTTACAGGTTAAGTGAAATACAATTCATTATCAGAAGTCACAACTGGGCTGAATTTTAAAACCAAAAAAAACTGAGAAAAATAGTCTTCCTTTACCAAATTACAAGGTTCTGTATCTCCTTTCCTACCGCTGCAGTCGCAAGAAATGCAGCTCCTTTTACAAGATTAGGTACTGGTGGTGGCATTCACCACTGCAGGAGAAACAGAATCCTGAATTTGGTTCTCAGCAAGTTCCACCTATCTGAATATTTTCTAAAGCACCTTAACAACAGTATCTGTATCAATGTTAAAGTTAAATTAATTCCACTTGATAGCTGGTAAAAATAATTTTAATTCTGAATGGTTTCTGTTAGTGACCTTTAGCAGATATTGTATTTCAAAGCCTGAACAAGAATAAGCTGGACACATTTAAAAGACAGTTGTATCACCCAAGGGTATTCATTTATGCATAGTTTCCTCAAATTAAAATGGATAATTTTGCAGGTGTTAAGTAACTATTGGAGGTGGTCAATATACACTATTTAATAGAAGTACCTGCAAGTTGTAAATTTATGACCATGTAGCATGGCAATGATAAATGGGAGTGGTGATGTGTTAACATGACTCTCAAGTGAGGGATTGCTTAATTAGGTGTTAAGAACTAAAACAAACTACTAAATGCAAAAAGAAATAGCAGCTATAGCGTTTTCATGTATGTTACCTGAGGTTACTGAAAACAACAAAACAATAGTACAAAACTGGGAATTCAATGCATTACTTGCCTATCAGCAATACTGGATGGCTTGTCTCCAATAGGAACCAACAATCCACCCCACAGAGATGCCGAAAATACCTTAGGGGAAAAGAATAAGTGATTTTTTTTTTTTTATAACTTGGCATTTATCAAGTATTGTTCACATGCCCCATTGACCAAATTGTATCACCTGATACAGGTGCACAGCTCCCACTGGCTCAACTAAACTTTGCATGTGATCAGGGTATATATGTATGTTGATAACAAATCTTTAAGAAATACATTTTCAGAAAAAACTACTGATCATTACTGCCCTTGTTCTAATCTGTGTAGTATTACATTTGAAAAAAAGTCACAGTGCATTTAAAATAAGATACTGCTGTTTTCAAGTTGCAAGTCTAGAAAAAAATAGTTATCCTACAGTCTGCTTGCTACTCCCTCATCCATTTTCACTTCCTGACTCTTACCATTTTATGCTGTTCTCAGAAATAAAATATAATCTTTACTGACATTAATTACATCTAACATAGAAGAACATTATAAGGCCTCTGCAAAACAAACTGTAATTAAGAGATGTGCTCTATTGATATTGTATGGAGCTAATTATTTTAAATGAGCATTTAGTGCTGTACTAAGTTCTACATTAAAAAAAAAAAGAAAACTAGGAATGGTATGTAAACATAGTTGCTTTTAACAGACTTAAGCTCAAAGAAAGAAACAAGGTTTGGCAAGACATATTTTCTATAAAACCAGGCTCTCTGGCATTATGTTCCTACCCTACAATTCTTTATCAATTAAACTCCTTATCTAGTTTTCCATTATTTTGCCCGGAAATAATATCAGGCTTCCTGATCTATAGCAACCCTGATCCTTTTTTAATATTGCTACAACATTAGCATTCTTTCAATCTTCTGGAACTTCTCCAGTATTCCACAATTTATTAAAACTTATCAGCAGGTTGAGAGTTCTTTAGCTGATTCTTCTGGAATTCTGAAGTGCAAATTATCCAGACCTGCTGATAAAAAATAATAATTCACTTTTATCCCTAGAGGATGGTGTTTAAACATTCCTCTCAGTTACTAAGGAACAATGATAGAAGCATACTGTGCTGCTTCTGACCAAATATAGGCCAGCAAGACTTATGAGACACTTCCACCTTTTCTATATTATTAACCACTTTGCTATTGCCCTCTAGTAATGGGCTGATACTATGACAAAGTAGCTTTTTGCCCTTAACACAATTTAAGAATTCCTTATTATCATTACCTTTGCCAACCATGGATTGTTTTCCCGTCACCTTTAATGATCAATTTTCTACACTTTGCAGGTTCTCATTTATATTGACTGCTATCTAATTTGCCTTCTTTCCTTTTGTTAGCCATTAAATTTTTAAATTTCTTACTAAAGCTAAAAAACAAACATTTATAAACAATGAAAGAGAATCAATAGACTCTATTTGTGACCAGAAATCTTGATACTAACAAGTAAATTGATTATACACTAACACAATTAAAATAACCCCAAGAGTCCACTATCATAATGACACCTGATTTAAGTGAACTCCAACTTTATTTTACAAAACATTTTAAATGGTTTCCTGAAGGTTTTTGGTTGAAACGTGTTCTCTTCAAAAAGTTTATCTTTTCCCAACAGAGGTCTCACCTCTTATTGGTTCATATTTAACTCATAGAAGATGAGTTTATTTTTCAGGGTCTACTGCCTCTTCCTCACTCCAAAATACTGGTTTCAGGGAATTCATTTAACCCAAGGAAAACTCATTCCCAAAATCTGAAATGCTATTAAACTTAACACGACCAGATGTGTCAATGGAGAATGCTAGAAGGAGCTATCCGCTCCTGTTCAAATGGATGTAAACACTGCCTTGCCACTACCCTCATATTAAAAAAAAAACCAAACAACTTTTTTGTTTTACCTTAGAAATTGTTCAATTTCCCACATAAATCTAACTGCAGACTAATATATAAGGAGATGCACACACCAACATTCAAATGTGTTTATTAAAGATATTGTCATATGTAATTTCAAGATGGTAGATACCAGAAGAGTCAGTGTTTGCATGGAACTTCTGGTATCTATACACCTTTCAGGAACATGTGAAGCGCACCTGAAGGAACAGAAGAACAAGAGCTGAAAGAGGATTGTTAATACATAAACTGAAATGAGTTTATATACTCAATGCTGTTTACACCTGGTTTGTGAAGGTTTAAAAAATGCACTGTGCTGTTAACTCACTTCTGAGGCTGGCTTTCCATCTCACCTTCAAGTGCTCTATATAGAAGATAAATAAAATACTTACCACACAACACATGCTATAATTCACGTATTAAGACAGTACCAGGGGAAAAGCAGGAATATTCATGAACTTATAGTGATATAATCAAATGAAAAAAAAAAATCAGACAATAAGGAAAGGTTAGGCAGGAAAGACTGGCTGGAAGTTTTATAAGCATGGGAAGGAAGAGAAGCCTGATCTATGGGGATCGATCAATCAGCTAAGGAAAAGCTAACAGTGACCTATCAAGGGATAAATGAATGCAGTATCTGTTTGTTAAAATGATTTTTTCCTTAAAAGGAAAAGATTTCTCATATCTGATGACTGACAAATAATTCAAGCAACTCAAGTGACTACCCATAAAAGGAATTAAATGAACTGAAAGAAATTCTAGCAATTGGGATTTTTTTTTTTTTTAGTTTCAAGGTAAAATTACAATAGTTACAACTTCCAGCTTTAGTCGCTGGTAATTTTAGCAGCACTTGCCTTTTGTAGATAACATCAAAGACACAAGTTACTTTTGTTACTTGCTGACTGACTGTTGAATATGTAAATACTTACCGAATCCCAAAAAACCTGCTTATTCAACTGAAGCTCAAAGTCCTCTTTCAGAAAGCTCACATCACCACCACTGTAGCCAGCCAGCTCCTGGATAAACAGAAACCTTAATAAGAGTTACCCTGAACATGCAAGGTTTAATACTTTTCCTAGGAAGGAAAACCATGTCACCACCAGCAGTGTTCTCTCTGTAAGCAACAGCAGCTTCTATGTTGATGAGCAACTGAATTCTATACCAGTGTAAAAAAGCACATGGCAAAACACTTTTTTTTTTATTCTTCACCCCAGACATTAAACAGGGCAGTTGCTTTCTATACCACTTGTTAATAATGACAGAATGGAGCACACTATTCTGTTTGACACCCAGGATCAAGCAGTTGGCTCCTTTAGTTAGGAAACGTGAATGTCACGTGCCTCCCACGGCTTGGGGGAGCACGGCAACTGCCCACAGGCAGCGACGAACAGGGAGATCCTGCAGATGGCCACAGCAGTGTCAGCTGTGAGGGGGGGTGAGCACCAATCAGTGATCAGCAACCACCCGCAGACACTGCCAGCAGCAGCAGCCAATCTCAGGGGGTGCACATGCACCTGTGCGCACCCCTATGTATTGCCAATGCTAGGAAAGTTTCATATCTACTGAAGAAACTGTAAAATCCAGTTATATTATACCAGAGTAAGGTTAAGAGCACAGAATAACTGAACAAAAAGCAACAACAGATTTTGCTTTGAACGTGTAACATCCTGACATATATCCCAGACTGGTTCCACACAGGCACTGTGTGCATGCTAGGGACAGCATACAAGGGGAGATGGGTCTGTAGGCTGAATCCAGCCCATGTGGACAGCTCCACACCATTCATCCAGCCCATAGACCAGCCCCACATCACTCATCTGGCCTGTGGGGCCATGAGTTTGACACCCCTAAACTGAGAGAATTAATGCCAGGCCTTTTATTAGTTATGGGTTTTTGAGGGCTCCCCTGCAGTTTCCAAATTTTGTTCCTGTTACCTTAAGGCCCTAAATTAAAAGCATCTCCTTTGCTTATGAACCTAGTCTGTGTTGCTCTTATTTGACGAAAGTGGGTCCTGCAGCACCTTACAGGTCTTGCTGGAAGAGAGGGAGATGACATTTCAAATACTGTGTACCATTGAAAAATCAGCTGTTCCCAACGTAAGGGTTATGACAACCACAGAAATTGTATTGGACGGATTGTGCACACACTAGAATTAGGGTCACAGAATCACTGTCCCCTGAATTGGCCGAATCCGAAGCAAATACTAGCCACTTCGCACAGGCCTACTGTTTACCCTGACTGATACTTGTGTTAAAAAAATATAGTCAGAAATGAGTACCAAGAAGCAACAAAATAAGCACTTTCTGCATGCACACGCACAGCATCTATGTTAGCAGCTACTGGTAAATTAAACACTACCTGATTAATTTTCAGCAGAGCACCTCGTTTCGGCAAGATTGAAGAGTTCCGAGAATCGATTACCATGGCATGCTGAAAAAGATTTAACAATTATTTAACTAGCATGAGAAGGCTCCAGAAATATAGCAGCTACCATGTTCCAGCAAATTCACTGCATCTTATGCCACACTTTCTAGGGGTCACCGATAGAGATTTTTGGGGCCAATACAGATATCTGATTTTTAAGGAGGCATATCGACCGATACTGATCCAATTTCCAACATAGTTTGGAGAGCTGCCTGCAGCTGGTAAGTCTGTTGTGGCGGAAGGGGAGGGGGGCAGAACAACTCTCCCCCACCCACACAGTGAGGGAGGGGGCAGGCACTGCCCAGCTGAGGCGGGGTGTGGGACAGAGGTGCGGCTCATCTGAGGGGGACAGCTCCTGCTGCTGCTTGCACCCCGGGAGGGTGGGAGACAGAATGTGCCCCCTGGATCTGCGTGGGGCGACCAGGTGGGCTGAAGCTGCAGGCTGGAAACAGGCTCTTCTCTCCAGGGACTGGGCTCAGAGCAGTGGCTACAGAAGACGCTGCAGCCACCCCATTTCACCGAAGCTCACTCCCAGTGCCGTGCCACCACACGCCCAGTACAGTTCCAGCTCAACCTGCACCTCCCATCACACAGTGGCTCCCAGTGCAGTGGGAAACTTGAACCATTACTATAGTCACCCTCCCAGCACCAAATTCCCAAACCCTAAGCCCAGTTGCAGCTGGGCCACACCCCCTCCCCCACATCTGGATCAGGGACAGGCCACATCTGCCCCCCCAAGCCTAGGGGGCTGGTTTGGGGGGCAGGTCATGCACCTTCCCCCACAGGGCCAGGCCACGCCTTCTTATCCCCCCTGAGAGGCAAGCCGCACCTGCTTTCTTTCTTCCCTCCCCCACCAGGCTAGGTTGAGGCTAAACCATGCCTCTTTTCCTCCTGCAGGGCCCAGCCACACATGCTTTTCCCTGAGGGGTCAAGCCACACTCCCCTTTCCCCACAGGACAGGGTTACAGTCAGGCTACCCCTCACCCCTTCCATGTGGCTAGATGGTGCTTACTGTGCCAGCCCCAGTGCTGAATCAGGACCACTGAAAGAAACCAGCCCACAGACGGACAAGGCACTGCCCAACCAGCCCACCAGGGAAAAAAGTTAAGCACTACTGCTCTAAGCTATTCCAAATTCAACAGTCAAGCAAAATAAGTATTTCATCTAGTGACCTACTCAGCGACTGGTTAAGTGTAGTCAAACTAGGCAGTACCTCAGTAAAAAAATAATCCTATAATTTTTTGTGTTAGTCTCCAGTAAGGGTACCAAAAAAATTCTCCTGGCACCACTGACAAGGTAACTGCACATCATTAACAAGGTACTGTCTTTTCCAAAAAGTTTATATACCACTTAGGAACTGAAAAAGCCTTACAGAGAGAGAAGATTTAAGAGAGTGTCCACTTTCTTCTCGAACAGGAAAAGATGCTGTTCTTGCGAGACATCCAAGCTCTCTCCAAACACCTTCCCACTTCAGCGTGTGATTCGTCTTCCATACTGGAAACTACAAAGACATATGAGCGGTACACGAAAAAAAAGGCAGCGTTATAAAATACCAGCAACACACTGATAAAATTCTGAAGCCTTGTTTCTACACATGGAAGATGGGTAGTGCTTACCGTTTCCAAATTGCTACACAAACTTAAGATGGGAAACTCATTTTTTACTTCAAAGTAACACTCACTCTGCCCAAGCCAAGATATGAACTGGCCCACGCAACAACCTTCCCCAAAATACAGAACATTTCCAGTTGTGCTGATACAATCTCCCAGGCAGCTAGGCACCTCTCTGAAAAGGCTTCATATTTTGTAAACTTAAACCTATATTTCCTTTTAAGCTACTGGTGAAGTGACATTTGGTCCCAAATAATACTTCTTAATCTTTTCACAGATCATCTCAGAATTTATGTTCTCTTTCATGTTATGCCAAATCTATCACTGCCATGAGCACATAAAAAAGCATATTTTAGAAATCTAAAAAATAAAATAGAAAGCTGTGCATCTAAACCTTGAACTGAATTAAAGGTAAATTCCTATTCCACAAGTTTCTGCAATCAGGGGTAATGCATAGGAGGTGCCCATGGGTGCACATGCACCCCCTGCACGTGGCAGTACACCCCCTAGGAAAAGACAATCCTTGACTGCCCCTGGCCGATGCCTGCGGGTGGTTGCCAACCTATGGCATGTGCTCCCGGTGGCGTCTATGGGAGCTCCCTGCTCACCGCCGCCGGGCTCCCGCTGTCGCTGCCCTCCCGCCACCGGGGGCACAGCCATGACCCCCCAGCCACCAGGGGCACACGCCATTCATGTCTGCAATAAAATGAGCAACAGATGTGCTACTGCTTACATTAAATTCTGTTGATACTCCTCTGTCAGTTTCACGAAGAGAGCTCCAAGGGAACTGCCCGGTTACTTTATACAGGTTTACTGAAAAACTAAAACATAACAATACATGGAGATCTGAAAGGTGGAAATTAAAGGAAGTAAAATTTTATAAAGTTTTTTCTTAGGAAGCAATCTATGTCATGCTATTGTTGGAGGCCACCTGTTTGTGTAACAAGTACCTGTAAAATGCAGGTTTAACTAGTCAAAATACACTGCATAAGCCTCAGCATTTCTATGTATTTATTAGAAGTCTAAAGTACAATTTAAAAGCTTAACTGTTAGTTTTGTGCCCCTGCCTTAAGTTAAAACTTTGGTAGCCAGCTGTTTGTATCACAAAAAAAATCTAGATTAGGATACATCTGTGGTTCAATTTACAGCCTTTGATCTGATAAATTAAGCAACTGAAAACAATGACTGTTTTCATTTTCTAAGTTCTGCTTTTAATAGAAAGGAAGCTGTTGCATTCTTATAGGGCGTGTGTAGAAGACACTGGCCTTAATGCAGAGCACCTGAAAATTTTTATGTGGCTTTTTTTGGTGCAGCACATTTGTGTTTGCACAACACGGTGTTTGTGTTTGGACGACATGCTGCTCTAGAGCAATTTAAGTCCTGTGTGTAATTTCAGGCAAATTCCAGCCAAATACCAATCTAGCTTGGATCACCCTCCCCCTCTTCCCACCAACTGAGTGAAGTAAAATCCCTGACTTTTGGTCAGGGTGGAGGCAGGGGCTGCTACAGGGCAGAAGAGGTGGGTGCTGCCTCTGAAGGGCAGCACAGGGGCCAGTGCTCATGCTCAAGAGGCTGAGCTGTCAGGAGATGCTGCCTGAGGGCCTGCAGCCCCATCCCTGTGCTGTGCCTAGGCGGATTTAGGATTCCTAAGAGAAATCTCCGGGCAGGTAATAGGATTCTTATCTATCTTATAAGGGGCAGCAGGTCAGGAGTGAGGGGCACTATGGTGTGGGGAGAGGATGCAGATCAAGATTGTGTGCATGCATGTAAATATCTCTAGTGCAATAAACTTAAATGTTGGTCTCCAAGTGAGAGAACAAAAGCAACGGGAGCTCTGTCCAGGTGATAACTGCCGTCTTTGAAATGTGAAAAGCCAGGGCTTTTTAGTGGATGGTAGCTAGCCTGACTAGGTAGGCAAACTGGTTTTTCTTCTGTTCAAACAAGTTCACCGACTCAAACATTCTACAAAAGGCAATAAAGACATTTTATGACTTTTAAATTGCTGGATGCTCTCCCTTTCAAACAACTTTGTCAATCCTGCTCATGTTTCAGAGTTATACGAGGCATTTGGACTCAGGATTCTCTATTAAAATTAGTGCAAAGTGGATGTTCAAATCTCATAGCAGCTTTGAAATTCTCAGATTAGGTCACTAAGATTTGAGTAAATAAAGCAGCATCAAATGTGAAAAATTCATTCAAACCTTGCTGTTGTTGACTACACAATCCTTCCCAATCTCTTTTCCAAACTGTTCTGCATATGAAGTCACAGAATACACTCCAAATAGGGGTTAAGCAGACAGAAGCTGGGGTAAAAGATGGCTTTGGTGCAGATTTGCTATACTGCAGTCAGTACAGTGTAGACAAACCCTTAGTTATTTCCAAGGAGAGCTTAGGGAGAGTGTGGCGAAGTGGAAACTCACTGACCAACCACAGTGCCAGTCTCTCACCTTCTTCTGGGCACGCCACCCACCTCTCTCGCCTACCACACCCTGCTGTTAAAAGAATAGGGTCTTAATTAGATGGGAAGCTGCCCTTTAAATGTCCTGTTCTCCTGGGCCTACGTATGCAGCTCCAACCATCCCTGTACTGCATCCCAAGGCTCACAGATGTTCCTAAAAGCTGTGCTGTGCTCCAGCCTGAGGCCGGGCCCAGCTCAGGACAGAGTTAGGCTCTCGCATTCTGCCTTGTACAGGCATACCTCGGAGATATTGTGGGTTCGGTTCCA